ATGCAGTACATTTCTAATATCAAACTGTAATGGTTCATGATCATATTTCAAGTGTAGAATTACTCTTTTCCAGTAAATGTTCACGAGCCTTTTAAGAAATAAGCGTAATGATGGCCAAAAGCCAGTTTTGCCATGTTAACCATGTAGTGTCTGGTCCGTTTTGATAGCTAACGCTACATTGTTATTTTTGTGGTGAGAACTAACAAGTTTTTATTATAACTTAGCTAAAATGCGATAGAAATCCCACCAATAAATAAGAAATACTGTGTGCCATTCATTTCCCAGATTGTTCAATTCGGAATGAATGAAAAAGTAGGGCAGATCTCATTTGACCTTCCTCGACAAGGGGACATGGTGTTAGAAAAACCATACAGTGAGTCCACTGCAAGGTTGATTGACGAAGAGGTGCGGATACTTATTAATACGGCTTACGAACGGACACTATCCCTCTTGACGGAAAAGAAAGCAGAGGTTGAAAAGGTATATCTTGTCTTGCGTATATTTGCATCGTTGCAGGTTTCTTAGGTCATCATGTTGTGAAAACAGTATCTTGATATCAGAGGTACACAACTCTTAGTGGTCTTGATGAATTTAGACTACAGATCCCATCCGTTCCATACAGCATGGTTAGGGATTGTAGGAGTTATTCCAAATATTTGGCACTCATATTGCCCCCTCTTCTTTTATACACTAGATTTATGTGGTTTGTTTTCTTTTGATAGAGAAGGGCAAATTATAGCAGGGACTCCACACTATAAAAAGTGAGGGAGAATTATTTTTTTGCTGACTCTTCCTTCCACTTTACAACTCACATTGTAATCTCAGATATTGTTCTAGACTACATGTATCAAACACAAGGCCCACAGCCCGAATCTGGCCCACATTGCCGTTTTATTGACCCTCCTGTTGCTGGACTACAACTCCCATATTCCTCATCATTCGACATGATGACTAGAGCTGATGGGATTGTAATACAGTAACAAAGGCTGCAGCTTGATATGATTAGTCAGGATAGTGGGGTTTGGATTCAGCTTCAAGTCTTGTGGATGTGATGTCTGGCTTTGAAATGTCATTTAACCTTTCTCTAATTGAGAGCCACAAGTGCTGTTGGGTTGCCATTACCATTATCTCCAGTCAACATCAAAAGTGATGGGAGTTTTCATTCTGTGGCATCTTGGGATCCAATTTGGGTTAAAAAAAAAATGGAGAACGCTGCTCACTATGTACAAAAATTATAATTGGCCCTCTATATCCACAGATTCTCCACCCATGTATTTGAAAGCAATCATAAGGCTAGTGTGGCACTCGATGAAAATGAGTTTGACATTTATGTTCTAGAGCAGGCATTGACAAACTTTGGCCTTCCAGGTGTTGTGGACTTCAACTCCCACAATTAGGAATTGTGGAAGTTGAAGTTCAAAACACCCTGGAGAGCTGAAGTTTGCCCGTGCCTGTTTTAGATAGCTTGACAACTCTCATGAGCAGACAGTTATAAAGAATTCAGTGAGAATTGTCTCTCTCCCAAAACACACAGAGATCATATCATTCTGTTTGTGAAGTTCGGTTTTTCCTCAGAGAGGGGTCAGCAAAGTACTCATGCAATATACTATTCTTTGTCCTTTATAAGATGTGCACAGAAATATTTGCCATAAGGTAAAGGTAATGGTTTTCCCCTGATATTAAGTCTAGTCATGTCCGACTCTGGGAGGTGGTGCTCATCTCCATTTTTAAGCCAAAGAACCAGCGTTGTCCATTGACACCTCCAAAGTCATGTGGCCAGCATGACTGCGTGGAGTGCCGTTACCTTCCCACAGAAGCAGTACCTATTGATCTACTCATATTTGCATGTTTTCGAACTGCTAGGTTACAGAAGCTGGGGCTAATAGCGGGAGCTCACCCCACTTCCCAGAATCAAATCGCCAACCTTTCAGTCAGCCAGTTCAACAGCTTGGTGGTTTAACCCACTGCGCCACCCGGGGGCCCATACTGTTTGCCCAAAAGTTTTGACTAGATTATTTTTTGTGTGTTTAAGCATGGTTTTCCTAGCGCATACAGAGGAAATATATGTGTGAACCCGTGAATTTCTCAAACTTTTCCATTCACAGCCTCTTTTGGCCCAGTTTTTTTTTTTACATGACCCCAGGTATATAGATATATAAAATAGGTATAAAAATCAAACATGTACTGATAACAAGTCAGCAAGACTTGATAAACAGATTAATTTTCCTCTTTATGAAATACAGCTGAAGCATCTTCTGCAGAGTCCACTGTTAATACTACACATCAGATTCATGTAAATGTCTAAAACAGCCACTAGGTGGCAGTCAGAAAACAGTTCCTGCTGCTATATTTTTTGTAACCCCAACATTGAACCAAGGGGACCCCATTTGGGTCGGAACCCACAGTTTGAGAAGCAGTCTTCTACATCATAACCTAGTGAACTGTGAAAGTCAGACTACCATTTTACCTGTTATGCAAAATGTATTGTGTTTGTTTCAGGTTGCTTTACAACTTCTGGAGAAGGAGGTTTTGGATAAGAGTGATATGGTCGAAATGCTTGGTCCCAGGCCATTTGCTGAAAAATCTACTTATGAGGAGTTTGTCGAAGGCACCGGGAGCTTAGATGAAGACACCTCCCTTCCAGAAGGCCTTAAAGACTGGAACAAAGATCGTGAAAAGGAGAAAGAGGAGACCACGGATGAACAGATTGCGAGACAGATTACAGGAGACATGCCTTTTTAGTGCTTGAAATAGTGGGTTTGGCATCACACACTGAAAGAGATTGGAGACGGTCTGTCACCATCCTCTGCTTTGCAGAAACAGGCAAGGCTGGAGCTAGAAAGGAAGGGGACTTCTTAAGAATTTGACATGAGAATATTCCAGTTGGATGCTATGTGTTCAAACTCCTGACAAAAAATTGGAGCTGTCATGACTACTACACTTGAGGCCCGTCTAGCTTTGTCACTTCAGTTTCATATCCAAACTGTGCAAGTCTAGACCATTACAAGATGTGCTTAAGATGACAGAATATCAGTTTATGAAAAAGCTCAGAAAAATCACCTGTCTGTGTTAAGCTCCCTCTATCAGATGCAAGTTGTTCTGATGCAGGAAGAGCATTGCTGGCACTTACCAGGAGTCCAAATAATGTATGAAACGCCTTCTGTTCTGTGGGCACCTTCACTTTTCATCCACCTATTTAAATGTGGCCCTTTGCCTTGCAGTTAAAAAAAACCCTATGTGATTATCAGTCATGAAACTGGGAGAGTTTTTCCGTTTATGTTATAATGACGTGTAAAATCTAAATTATATTATTGCAGTTTTAATAAAGGGTTTTTTTATACAGGCAGTTGTAATATATGGAACATATGAATGTATTCTATTTTGTAAATAGTTTGGGAACAGTCAATAAAATGAGCAGTTATGAGACACTATGAAGTAACTGGAGCCACCAAAAAAATACCAGGGAATAGTGATTCTAGGTTAACTGCTCTGTGGTAGAATCAATGTATTACGGAAGCAGCTGTTTTATTTGTTTGTTGTCACATCCCAACAAACAAGAAATGCCAGTGTTGAGCTTGTTAGTTGCTTGTGGTTGGTTAAACTGAAATCAAAGGTTTTATGTTCCCTTGTGGAAAGGTTCTTTGAACCCAGTAATAAAATACAAATAAGTGAACCTCTTGTCTTACAGCATAACATATGACATCTAGAAATGCTTATGAGAAGCTGTTCATATTTGGGGACAATATGAGATACATATCCACAAACATGGATGCAGCCAAAGAAAAAGGAACTGAAAGATTTTCCAGTAATGTATTACTACTATTCATAAAACAATACTAATTCAGCTGTGTGCTTTTTCCCATTTTTATTTTTTTAATTTGTATGCAAAAGGATCTTGTAGCACCTTAGAGATTGAGAAACCATGAAAGTGTAGGCTAAGTCGATATTGATATTCCAAACTAACATGACTATATCTTAGTTGGATGCCATGAAATGACCCTAAAAATTGCCAGCTGGAAATTTCCCCTCCCGTGGTAAAGGTACGCATGGTGTGGTGAACCCATGGTAAAAGTAACAGCCTGAACTGTGGAGAGCAACTGCTGTAGTATGAGGGGCATGGGAGCATTTTTCTTCTCCTAGGACTTGGAGTTTGTGGCATGGACCACCTAAAACTAAAACAAGACTTAGAGTGATTACAGGTCTACTTTACTAGACAGTGCATGGAAGCTGCAGTCTTTTTAGATATAAAATTGCAACCTCTAGAACAGTGGTTCCCAACCTGTGGTCCCCAAGAACGAAAATGTGGTCCAGGTTTCACCATTATTACAGTCTTGTCTCGAAACCATGTGGTCTTGCAAAACCCTGTTATAGTGCCAAGATAACGGGAATGTCAGGAGAGTAGAGGATGACTACCCACGAAATATTGCTACTACCACATCAGCTCTAGATTATTAAATATGGTTTTCTCTGGGCGAGCAGATGACTACTACTGGTGGCATATGTTCTGTACCAGAAATTAGAGCTGATGTGGTCTGTCCAGTGCGGTTTTCTGAATTGGCAACCCAAATAACCAAACCAAATCTAAAGTTGAGAAAAATTGATTTGTAACCCTTTTTGACTAATGTTGAGAGTGGTCCCTGGTCAAAGCGGTCCCTGATCAAGTAGTCCCTGGTCAAAAAAGGTTGGGAACCACTGACCTAGATGCTACAAGAGAAGGAATTCATTTCATTTTTGGCCAGAAAAAAGGGGGTCTGATGAAAAAACAATTGAGGGGATGCAAGCCACTTCTGTTCATTCCAGGCCCTGATCTAGTTTTCTGTAAGATGCACTTGAAAAGCAAGCATTTTCCAGTGTCAACCAAAGATGTTCTACTACAACGTTTAATGTGTTTGATCCCTTAAACATCCCCCACTTCAAAGAGGCTGTCCTCCCCTGTCTTGCCATTAAAATGTCACCTTTTCAACACTAAATTCTTGATAGGTTATATGAAAGATTAGAGATGCCTTTTCCTATTATTTTTATTAACAGAATTTGTTCCCAGCAACTCAGTACAGAACAGCACTCAAAATATTAACTCACTGCAAGTCTAAAACATGTTTACTTAGATGCACATCCCATTGCGTCAAGGAGCTGTGCATAAGACTGCAGCCTGAGCTTATTTTTATTCACAGTTCAAGAAAATAGCTATTTAAAAAAACACACATTCTGCTCTGAAACAGGGACATTTTTAAATATGTCTCCTATTACCTGCATTAACACTTTCAGACAAAATTCTCAATCCAGGAGAATAAATGATTGAAGTCCAGAGCAGAATCTTTGATTATTATGTGGTACAGAGTGCAAAACATCCACTCCAAAGTCAGTAGAGGTTTAGAAGAGCCAGATTCTTGGGTAGAGTCCTAAAAACTATCCTGGAAAAGTGTTGAGCAAGTGCTAGCTATTCAGACTTGAGCATTTTTGGAACAGGATTTATTTGACCTTATTCATTAATTTCTTCCTCATCATCTTCAAATGCTTCCTCTCCATCATTTGCTGTGGCTTCTTGATATTGCTGGTACTCGGACACAAGGTCATTCATGTTGCTCTCTGCTTCTGTGAACTCCATCTCATCCATTCCTTCCCCCGTAAACCAGTGAAGGAAGGCTTTTCTTCTGAACATGGCGGAGAACTGCTCTGAGATTCTTTTGAAGATCTCTTGAATCGCTGTGCTGTTGCCAATGAAGGTGGAAGCCATCTTGAGACCACGGGGCGCTATATCACAAACAGCCACTTTGACGTTGTTTGGGATCCATTCCACAAAGTAGCTGCTATTCTTGTTCTGGATGGCCAGCATCTGTTCATCAACCTCTTTCATAGACATGGGACCTCGGAAGACTGTGGCTACCGTCAGATACCTTCCATGCCTTGGGTCGCAAGCGGCCATCATGTTTTTGGCATCAAACATCTGTTGTGTGAGCTCTGGGACTGTGAGAGCCCGGTATTGCTGGCTCCCTCGGGCCGTCAAGGGAGCAAATCCCGGCATAAAGAAGTGTAAACGTGGGAATGGAACCATATTTACTGCCAGCTTACGTAGATCAGCATTTAGTTGGCCTGGAAAACGCAACGATGTTGTTACACCACTCATTGTAGCAGACACCAAGTGGTTCAGGTCTCCATATGTTGGAGTGGTGAGCTTCAGAGTGCGGAAACAGATATCATACAATGCCTCATTATCAATGCAGTAGGTCTCATCTGTATTTTCAACTAGCTGGTGGACCGAAAGTGTGGCATTGTAGGGTTCTACCACAGTGTCAGAGACTTTAGGCGATGGCATGACACTGAAAGTATTCATGATCCTATCAGGATATTCTTCTCGGATTTTGCTGATGAGCAGCGTGCCCATCCCAGAGCCTGTTCCTCCTCCAAGAGAATGAGTGAGCTGAAATCCCTGCAAGCAATCGCAGTGTTCACATTCTTTTCTTACTATATCAAGCACTGAATCCACAAGCTCTGCTCCTTCTGTATAGTGTCCTTTGGCCCAGTTGTTTCCAGCACCAGTTTGTCCTGAGATGACAAAACAAAATAAAAGCAGGAAGATTTGAAAAGATGTAGCGTGTCATGAACAGTAAACTCAACATTACCAAAAGCAACATGACCTTGTCATGTTGACATTTCTGTTATTTTGATACTGTATGTATGAACTGCTCTGTTAACACTGAAAGCTCCTTTCACTGCCAAATAATATCCAAAACTTCATGCCAAAAGTATTTTTTTAAGTTTCCACCCCTAAGCTCATAGAGACGTGATGATATTGTAGGAGGAACACAGAGCATATATTATCCATCCTTTGCCACCCAGCACTCTCAATATATCAATATACCCATACACTGAGTTTTGTTTCCATATGTAAATCACCTTTGTTGAATGGGATGACTGCTTTTGTGCCTTATTAAGAGTATTATGCCTGAAATATTGCTAAGAACATGTGGCTAACATGACTGTTGTTGCATATTAAAGTAATGGCAACTATATGTGTTAAGCATGCCTACTGTTTCCATTTCAGACTTGACATTTGCTTCTAAACAAGTATGCTTAAAATGCTGCTGTCAGACAGCATCTAATCTGCTATTTTGCACTGGGATGCTAACAAAAGAGATATTAACTAATGTGATGTTTGGGACTTAGTTTGTATCCACTTTTCCCATATGCTGTAGTCCTGATGAGTGAAGGGATTGCTCAAGGAGTTGCTATTTCTATTGCTACATGAAAAGAAATGTGGGAAACTCCAAGTGCACGGTCAGCTATGATGTTGATATGATATCACCCAACACTGAGATGGTTGTTTTTACTTCTTGTGACTCAGCTCCTTGTTCACTACAGATCATGTAGTCTCATAAGCAACCATTTCACAGACACGGTCCTCTGTGGTTAACTCACAGACTGTACACTTGTGGTGTTATCAAGACTAGGTTCTGGAATTCAATAATGTCAACTTGACTGTGTAAATATATCCAGATTAAAAATAAAACCAAATATAAATATAAAGTATCCCTCCCAGAAGAGCTCTTGAGCAATGTACATTTGGAAGTTAACTGTAGTTTGGGTGCCTCTTCCCTTCTCCCCTTGTTTCAGGCATATTGTTTTAGTGTTCATTTTTAGCATTACAACCATACAATCAGCAGCTCCTTCCTCAGAAATTTCCAAAAGGACAGTAATGTGGCAGCAAACACAACAGTCATATGGCAATTTATATTTTTGAATATTTACTGCGGCCTGAGCATTCATGGGCTGCAGCTGAATGCATTCTGTAATAATTTTGCAGGCTACACAAAAACACACTAGCAATCTCCAGGAAGATTTGTGGCATCATCTCATTTCATAGGATCATAGAGTTGAAAGAGACCCCACGGACCACTCAGTCCAACCCCTGACATGATTTAATGTACAATCAAAACCACAAGTAAGCAATGATTTCCAAACTTTTACTCTCTTGCATTTCAATGCCTAATATACTTAACAAATCAACAGTGTTTGTAACAGAAAAGTGTTAACATACCAAATATAAAATTATCGGGCCGAAAAAGTTGTCCAAATGGACCGGATCGCACGCTGTCCATGGTTCCAGGCTCCAAGTCCACCAAAATTGCTCTGGGCACATATGTTTGGGCTGCAAGGAAAGGAAAAACAGCTCTGTATGGAGTGATGTCTACAGCTATACAGACATTAGTTTCATTCATTCAGTCCCAGCTGCTTAATGTATCTGTGCATCAGTTCATTATTATTATTTTTTCATGATCTCAATAACAAGGTATTAACTTTCCCATAGTTGTTTAGAAAAAGTCTTAATTGCCTTGGGCACTGATTCATTCACCTTAGGCTCCTCCCTTTATTATGAAAGAGGGTTGTTGTTTTTTTGCAAGTCAGTTTTGTTTACATTCACCCAAGGCATCTGTAACACCCAATGCCTCACAATCCCACAGAGATCTCAGTCAATACCACTCTTTTTAAATGTCATATAACAGGTTTCGGTAAGTGTACAAATATGTAGATGTGCAAGCTGGGGTTGTTAAAAGAAAAACAATAGAAACTTTGATCCCAATATCCAGAGAAAAGTGTGAACATTACTAACATGATAATGAAGTAAAACAAAAGTAAGAACAATGTAATAAAAGCCACCAGTATAAGCCTATCTTAGAGCTCCAGTTTTCACAAGATTATTAAAGAACCACTTGGAGGAAGCAACCTTCTCAAGCCTCCTCTATATGATGTTTGTCTGTTTTGTAATGTGTCATTTTATAACCTGAAGTATATATCTTATTTTATTTGCAGTTTCCTTATCTCTATATACCTGAAGCAGTGGGAGGGGCTGCAGGTCACGTGACTGACTCATTGACAGTTTAGAATATTCAGATTTAAACAGGATGAGTGAATGCAGGGCATTGTGGGTGCGAGGGAGGGAGGGTGGAGGAGAAAGAGAAGAAGCGCGCAGGCTTTTGTGTTGAGCTGAGTTTCGTGTGTGGAGGGTACTTCCCATTTTGTGCTTCCGAATAAATGGAAGACACGAAAGAAACAGAAGAAACTGTAAGAACAAATTTTGTGCGCATGTCTACAAATAAACTCTGCTACTCTGATTAGATTGTGATCCTAAGAGGCCATGATCCATTATCCCCAATAGAACCAATCCCAGCTGAACATATTGTGAGTTATTTATGAGTCAAGTTTGCAAAGACCAGAATCTTGATAGCACTTATGTTAGCTTGACCTCCAGATCTTGTCCAATGTTAATTTGCTAGTGGTAAACTGATGGAGTTTTCCTGCATCTATACGTTTTCTACCTAATAGCATGATCCCAAATCAACTACTATTAATATTTTATTTGATTGTGAACATTGTGGAAAGTATTCACATTTTTTACCAATAGTCTGACAGATGTCATTTTCACGACCACTTGGCAATACCATCTGTCACTCTCTCTTCTTAACGTTTTGGACTTATATGGAAACATACAATTTGGTGAACTGGTATTGACTGATCATCTTTAATTGTTTAATTGTTATGGCATCGAATTGTTGCCAATTTGTGAACCGCTCCGAGTCACCTCTGGGCTGAGAGGGGCAGTATATAAATATAGTAAACTAGCTGTCCCCTGCCATGCGTTGCTGTGGCCCAGTCTGGTGATCTGGAAAATAAAGTAATGAGAAAGTGTTGGTTTCTAATATATGTAATTCCTTTATGCTTGTGAGTAAACAGTATTTCTTGTTGTTTCTTTGTCAGTGTTGATGTGGAGAGTGTCTGGTTTGCCTACTCTGGAATATGCAACATATCATAGTCCTTCTTTAAGGGTCTCTTTCAAATCTATGATACTATATCTGTGTGTGTGAGAGAGAATCATATCTATCTATCTATCTATCTATATTTATGACTGGATGGCTCTTTGTCAGGAGGGCTCTGATTACATTTTCTTGCCCTGGTGAAGAGAGTTGGACTGGATGGCCTTAAGTATTTTCTGTTGGTCATGGGGGTTCTGTGTGGGAAGTTTGCCCCATTCTGTCGTTTGTGGGTTTCAGAATGCTCTTTAATTGTAGTGAACTATAAATCCTAGTAACTACAAATCCCAAATGTCAATGTCTATTTCCTCCAAACTCCATCTGTGGGAAGGTAATGGTGCTCCATGCAGTCATGCTGGCCACATGCCCTTGAAGGTGTCTATGGATAACTCCGGCTCTTTGGTCTAGAAATGGTGATGAGCACCACCCCGAGAGTCGGACACAACCAGACTTAACGTCAGGGGAAACCTTTAACTTTATCTTAATAATTAGGAAAGCAAATTAAAAGAAAGAAAGAAAGAAAGAAAGAAAGAAAGAAAGAAAGAAAGAAAGAAAGAAAGAAAGAAAGAAAGAAAGAAAGAGATTTAGGGTGGGAGGATGAGAGCTTTGCCCTTCCCAAATAAGAATTCTGCCCTCCCTCCTTAAATATTCCTTCCGTTCCCATGCAGAAGTCTTCTTGTTTGCTTGTGCAGCATTTGGCACTCTTGAGCAACTTTCATTGCTTGCAACCATCAATCCGCTGATAACTCCAGGGAATTTCCTGTAACAGCTGTTGATGAACCACAGCTCTTTCCCCTTCCACTTCCCCTAAGAACAGGCTTTTGGTAGGATAGAGATTGAGCAGCTGCTGTCAGGGAAACCTTTCGTTTGCATTTTGTCAGAATGTGAGAATGTTATTTTTTGGTCTACATATCCCAGAAAGCCCCAGCCATCTACTGGCCCTTTCCTCTATAAAACGTGTGATTCAAATATTACTGTGATGGGTTGTTGTTTTGAAAAGTGAGAGAGATTTTAACCCAAAGAAAAGGACTTCCACTCCAACTGTCCCAGTCTGGCAAGGACAGTCCTGACACATTTTCAGCGTACTTCAGCTGCTACAAATTCAATTTCAAGTACACGAGTTGTGTTGTTTTGTTCCTTCAAGTTGCTACTGACCTATGGCAACCCTCAGATAAACTTGTCACAGGGTTTAGTTGGAAAGATGTGTTCAGAAGACATTTATCATTGTGTTGTTGATGGCTTTAATGACCAGAACCACTGGATTGCTGTGAGTTTTCCCGGCTGTATGGCCATGTTCCAGAAGCATTCTCTCCTGATGTTTCACCCACATCTATGGCAGGTATCTTTAGAGGTTGTTAGGTCCATTGGAAAACAGGCAAGTGAGATTTATATATCTGTAGAATAATGTCCAGGGTGGGAGAAAGAACTCTTGTCTGTAGGAGGCAGATGTGAATGTTGCAATTGGCCACCTTGATTAGCATTCTCCCGCCCTGGATATTCCACAGATATATCAACCTCACTTGCCTAGTTTCCAACAGACCACACAACCTCTGAGGATGCCTGCATAGATATGGGCGAAACATCAGGAGAGAATGCTTCTGGGACATGGCCATACACCCCAGAAAACTCACAGCAATCCAGACGTTTATCATTGTTTTGAGGCTGAAAGTATATGACTTTCCAAGCTCATCCAGTAGATTTCATAATTAAGCAGGGATTCAAACGCTGCAGCCTTTCCTACCATAGCTTGCCTGTTCTTCCTCATAATAATTGTTTCATCTTGACCACAGCCTGACATTTCTTGGCCAGATGTATCTCTGTTTTAATCTCTGAGATGCCAGAGCGTATGGAAGGGACAGCATGTCTGCCATCCCTTTCACCAGCCCCCACAGTGTGACTGGACTCCCTTTTCCCCTTCCTATCTGCGAACAATGCTGTGAGCGACAGAGGGATTAGAGCACATAGTTACAGTGCAGAGCATCACAGGGATGAGCCAAGAATGGCAGGGATGGGGAAGTAGGCCTCACCCGAAAGTGTTGGGAGAGGGAAAATGAGCTACCCGGCCTGGAATTCTTCCAGGACAAAAGCTTAGCCTGCTCACATTTGCAAAGAATGGCAGGATTTCATGCTACTGGGCTGGGACAATGGTTCTAGCATTTAGGGGGCAACTGCTATTCGCGAGCCACCATCGAGCAACAGCTGAGGTATTGCAAATGTTGTCCTCATCATTTTCCACAAATGAAGAGAAACAATGCTTTAGACTCTGCAACAAGAACAAGCAATATTTCCACACATTACAGAGCCGCATGTGTCAATGAGCAATGGTTTGGGAGCAGCAGGCACACACATACTCAGATCCAAGGTTGGGAAAGTTACTTTTGTGGGACAACATTCTTCCAGAATCTTTCAATCATAAATGTAACATTTGCTTGTGGAATTAACATAACTCAAAAACCACTTGAAGAACTGATATCAAATTTGGCCACAATACACCAGCTAAGCCAATGCATGTCCTTCACTCTAAAAAAAATTAACCAGAAAGAACTTAAACCCTCACAAACCTAAATGACTATACATTAAAAGAACACCCTCCCCCACCCCTCCCTCCTGCACAAGGGGTAAAAACCAACAGTTGAGAGAGAGGTAGTTTGAGAGAGGGAGGGAAAGGTGGCCAGTATATCACTCTTACTACCCCCTGCTCTCTCTTCCCAAAGGATTGAGAGAGAGGGAGGGAGGGAAGGAGGGAGAGAGAGAGAGGACACCCTCCTCCAGATCCACCCCTCCCCTTCCTCTCCTTTCCTTTCCCTCTTGGCTGTTGGCAGCATGGAGGTGCCTCTGCTGGGCTGCTGGGAACTCACATGGGAGGGATTCTGTGTGTATGTGTGTAGGCTTATATGCACACACACATATTTCTACACACTTCAACACCCAAAAAACTCACCCATATTGAGTTATGGGAAGGAATTCTGGGAAATGCAGTCTAGTGTGTGTGTGTGTGTGTGTATGTGTGTGTGTGTGTGTGTATGTATGTATGTATGTATGTATGTATGTATGTGTGTGTGTGTGTGTGTATATGTATGTATGTATGTATGTATATGTATATGTATATGTATATGTATATGTATATATATATATATATATATATATATATATATATATATATATTCCTGAGCTGAAGTCTGATACAGACATATAGGCACACAGGGGCATGTCAGCATACAGGAGCAGGAAAGTGAAAGCCTTCCTCCTGTATGACTCTTTTTCTCCCCATTAACACTAGTGATTGGCATCAGGAAAAAATTCCCAATGTCAATTTGGGAATATGAACAATTATCATTTTGCATGGAGTAATGATGTATCAGGTTAGACTAGTGCCATTCATCAACATTTAGCCATATCTATACTGTTTGCTTTCTGATCTATAGCATTTTGATCTTCAGCAATGTGTATGTGTATATGTTTGTCTTGGTAAATTTGAATTTGAACTTCATTTTTTTTTTGCTTTCTTATGAAGTATTTTGAGAATAATTAAAATCCGTTTTGTATTCTACATCTGTTTAGTTTAATGATGCTATATATATATATATATATATATATATATATATATATATATATCAGTATATATGTATGTATGTATGTATATCAGTATATCTACATATATATAAAATCAATGTGTGTGTGTGTGTGTGTGTGTGAGTATATCTTCAAGGAGCCATGGTGGTGCAATGGGTTAAGCCCTTGTGCCGACTGAACTGCTGACCTGAAGGTCAGTGGTTCGAATCTGCAAGACAGGGTGAACTCCCCTCTGTCAGCTCCAGCTTCCCATGCGTTGACATGAGAGAAGTCTCCCACAGGAGGGTAACACATCCGGGCATCCCCTGGGCAACGTCTCTGCAAACGGCTGATTCTGTCACACCAGAAGCAACTTGCAGTTTCTTAAGTTGCTTCTAACAAGATTTCTGAAAAGTATATTTACATTCTATCTATTTCAGTTTACTGATTTCAATATATACCAGAAATAGGTTTTCCCATGGACCCCATCTTTTGATTTCTGCCAAAATAAATTTGCCTGCATTAAAATATTACATAAATTCTGAACAAAAATAAAGTTAAGAAGCAGCCATGCATACAGTATGTTATGCTACTAATATATATGATATACATCTGTAGGTAACACAAACTAACCAGTGGAAGTTTGGCTTTCTCATAGAGGAGGAACAAAAAAATGACAACAATAAGGGGCTGTAATACCAAACCTGGAAGTCATGTTGACTGGCAGAAGTGAGGTCAGCCCTCCACTGCCTCAAACAATACACAGGGCAAGTGAAGGAAAGGAAATGGGAAATAAGGAGCAACTGATATCGTCCCCAGGAACTGCCTGTACTTTCTTAAAGAGTCCTGTAATCTACTCAGAGCACCAGATTCAGACTTTGGATACACTCTGTGTGGGAAAATTAACAGCCAGGAAAATACTGTATCTTTCTACGAGGATAATCTACACAATGTGGCACCCAAGCTTGCACTTTTTTAAATTCTGTATCAGATAGTGGGGTAAAGAAGGACACAAAGCATCAACATCCCTTTCCTGGCCCTGAAAAATCCAAATACTGTATAATTTATTTTTTTGGAATGTGTCCAAAGAAGGGCAACTAAAATTATCAAGGGTGTGGAGAACAAACCCTATGAGGAGCGGCTTAAAGAGCTGGTCATGTTTAGCCTGCAGAAAGAAGGTTGAGCGGAGACAGGATAGCAGTGTATAAATATGTGAAAGGAAGTCATAGGGAGGAGGGTTGTTTTCTGCTGCCCTGGAAACTAGGATATGGAAAAATGGCTTCAAACTACAGGAAAGGAGATTCTACCTGAACATTAGGAAGAATTCCTAGTGGTGAGAGCTTTTCAGCAGTGGAACTCTCTGTCTCAGACTATGGTGGAGGCTCCTTCTTTGGAGGCTTTTAAGCAGAGGCTGGATGGCCATCTGTTGGGAGTGTTTTGAATGCAATTTCCCTGCTTCTTGGCAGGAGGGTTGGACTGGATGGCCCACGAGGTCTCTTCCAACTCTATGATTCCTATTCTTAGGAGATTTCAGCCCTACTTGACTTTATGTTTGTGCAGTCTTACAAATAAGATCAGTCTACCAGCCATTAGGAATTGAGAGAGTTGAAGTCCAAAAACTCCAGGAGGGCCGAAGTTTGCCCAGGCCTGATCTAGACTGTGAAACCAAAACAAACGTGAGATCCTCAAAGTGTTGAGCATCTGCCCAGTGTCCACTTCTGCACATGTGTGGCATAGTTGCAGGATGGAGGAATGCTCCTGGCTTGGCCATTTTCTCCATCTGCAGTTAAGATTGGAAATCAAAACCAATGTAGTGCGACACCAGGCATGGGCAAACTTCGGCCCTCCAGATGTATTGGACTTCAACGCCCACCATTCCTAACAGCCTCAGGCCCCTTGCTTTCCCCCCTCAGCTTAAGCGGCTGAGGGGGAAAAGGAAAGGGCCTGAGGCTGTTAGGAATGGTGGGCATTGAAGTCCAAAACATCTGGAGGGCTGAAGTTTGCCCATACCTGGTGTATATAGTTCACACCCTGGTCCAGTTCCCTTTTCAACCTCCCTTGAGTGAGAGTACAGAAGGTTTAGAACAACAATGGGATTGTTGGTTCCTAAAACAGCACAGCTACACACACAGAGGAAATGGATGAGCAATCTCTTTGCTGTCTTCATCGTCACCTTCTCCCCACACCCCAAAGACCACATACATCACCACCCTTGGCCAGGAAGGCTGCACTCACATGATGATTCATTGTAGTAGACATTGATCCTCTCCAGCTGCAAGGGTGAGTCACCCACATAGCCTCCGGCGGGGTCAATCCCGTGTTCGTCGCTGATCACTTCCCAAAACTTTGGCCAAAGGAGACAAAAGTGAGACAAACCCTGTGACACTCTTCTCAAGAGCTCTGCCAACCTTTCTCTACCCCTTGCCATGCTCCCATGAGCTCCCTCCCCTCCCCACTCCCTTGCACCCTCATTGGGAGCTCTCCAAAGCCACCCAGGCTTGGCAGAGAGAGAGCAGGCCTTCCAGGCATGTGTTGGAGCAACAGCTGCCGAATGCCTGGCATGTTTGAGCACTGCTCCTCTCCACCCCTCCCTGCTCCTGGCCTGGAGACTGAACAGAGCAGAGAAGAGACAGGGTGGGGCTGGAAAAAGAGACAGAAACCAGGCATTTCTCAGGCAGAGTTCAAACCCAGGAGAAAACAGTTAAGATCCCCCAGTAGCTTTTCTATTTCGGGCCACCCTTTCATTTGTCGTTCATCTTTTCCTTCTCCCTTCATTTTCCCCTCTGCCACTCCAGTATATTTTCCCCCCCTGGTTTCAGTTTTTTCCCCAAAGCCTTTTATGGTCAACATGAAACAGTCTGGTTTTAGTTCCCATTTTGATGGGTTGGCTTCCAGCTCTTTCCAACCGTTGAGTCCTCAAAAGCATCTAAAAGCCACAAAACAAAACAATCCACCTCTCGAAAAAGTTTGCTTCAGCAGATGAAACTTTTCTCTTAAACCCTTAAAATACAATATGACGGATCCCTTTCTTTTTAAATCTTTGAGATACTCAACAAGGAATCTACCTCTCCAAAAATACCTAATTTTGTAATATAAAAGATATCATAATAGTAACTTTATTTTTGTACCCTTCCTCCAAAAATAGTTATTATTATTATTACTATAAATAAAGTTATTATTATTATTTTGACCAGCATATATATCTCATTTGCTGTGTCAAAATACTAATAATAACTTTATTTTTGTACCCTGCCTCCAAAAAGTTATTATTATTATTATTATTATTATTATTACTATAAATAAAGTTATTATTTTGACCAGCATATATAACTCATTTGCTGTGTCAAAATAATAATAATAATAATAATAATAACTTTATTTTTGTACCCTGCCTCCAAAATAGTTTTATTATTATTATAATTATTACATTATTATTATTATTATTATTATTATTATTATTATTATTATTTTGTACCCTGCCTCTGGAGCCCCTGGTGGCACAATGGGTTAAACCCTTGTGCTGAAGGACTGAAGACTGACATGTCGGAGGTTCAAATGCTGGGAGAGCATGGATGAGCTCCCTTTGTCAGCTCCAGCTCCCCATGCAGGGACATGAGAGAAGCCTCCCACAAGGATGGTAAAACATCAAAACATCTGTGCATCCCCTGGGGAACGTCCTTGTAGACAGGCAAGTCTCTCACACCAGATCAACTTACAGTTTCTCAACTTGCTCCTGACACAAAAAACCAAAAAACCACCCTGCCTCCATCTCCCTGAAGGGACTAAGGATGTCTTACAAATGGCACAGCGTGCCTGAAACAATGCATAAAATAAGCAAATAATACAATACAGAATAAAATCAAAATCATATAAAACAATAATTTAAGCTCAAAACAATGCCCAATAACCTATGGCGAGAACTATTGTAAAACCTGACCAACTGTAAACAATAACAAGGGAATGGATTATGCAAATTGCAGCTGATGACCAAGGGCATGGGACAAAAGTGCAATGCTGTGTCATTAATATAAAAGGAAGCAGGGGTGGTTGAACATCATGCATTGAACCATCAAGTGTCATGATCAGATACTATTTGCCAGGACACTCACCACCACAGCTAATATACATACTAATGAAAGTGATGGCAATAAAGTGACATTAAGAGAGTTTTTCCCCATACCTTGGTTCCAATTTGGTTTCCGCACTGGCCGGCCTGGATATGAACAATCTCCCTCATGGTGATAAACAAGCTCCCAGTCTCTCTGCTTTTGCTTCTCCACCTCCTGATCCTGACTCTGCTCTCGAGAGTTCAGCTGTGAGCCCAGCGCCTGACTCAATGAACGTTTTATTGGCTCTTGCGGGTGATTCACTCTCCCGGCTTTGCTCACTCTGCAACTTCACATAAGAATGGAAATGTGGGAGGCGGCAACCAAGAGGAGCAACTGCTGTGGGCTTTGCCCCCGGCCCACCCTTGGCTGGGATTTCTGTCTTGTGTGAATGGCAAACACCTCCCTGTTACTACGATGTGCAGTTTCAAATGTTTGAACATCAACGGTCTCTGTATTTTTTCACTACCACACACATTTTGATTCCTAATGCTAACAGCGCACAGTTTGGACTGATGCCAAAGTCAAGTGAATAACTGCAGTTTAGAGTCTCTGTTTAGGATAATATATTTCACAAAAACACTTGCATATATCGTTGCAATATAACTGCAAAGTTGAAACTTTAAGCTTATTTACTTTTTTGAACCTAATGCACATGTTCTCTGGTCAGAGCTGTCATTGTTATTCGATTACAATGACATTTTGAATTACAGTAGAGTCTCGCTTATCCAACATAAAAGGGCCAGCAGAACGTTTGATAAATGGAAATGTTGGATAATAAGGAGGGATTAAGGAAAACCCTATTAAATATCAAATTATGTTATGATTTTACAAATTAAGCACCAAAATATCATGTTATACAACAAACTGACAGAAAAAGCAGTTCGATATATGGTAATGTTATGTAGTAATTATTGTATTTATGAATTTAGCACCAAAACATTGCAATGTATTGAAACAGCAAACTACATTGGATAATACAGAACACTGGATGAGCAAGGATTGGATAAGCGAGACTCTACTGTACGTGGTTTCTTAGAAAAAGGTACTTAAACAAAAGGAGAAATCAAAGTTGTCAAAGTTGTCATAACTCACCATATTGCAAAGATATACAATGCAAACCAACACAAGGAATCTATCTCAGTTCTGTAGAACTGTTCTATAGGTAGTCCCCAAGTTAGGAATAAGATAGGTTGTGTTGGTTTGCTCTTAAGTTGAATAAGTATGTAAGTAGAAACAAGTACATTATTTAAGTGTAACTCCAGCCTCCCCCCCCCCTCTCTAGCACAGGAAAGGGTGAACACCTCTGTCGTGTGTGTTTTGCTGCCTGTGCCCCTGTCCAGAAGATTTCACCTCACTTTCTGTCCCTGTGAGAATTGGATTTTGAAAAATGTGGCTTGTTATGCAAACAAGGATTGGTTAGAAAGCTTCAGTGGAACCCCTTTTCCCCATGATAACTCTTCCAGGGGTGGATTCCCCTTCCAAGGGGGAGATTTCTCTCACTTCCTGTTGTCTCACCCCCGTTCTTAACTATGAGTCGTTTGTACACCGAATGTTTGTAACTCAGGGACTGCCTGTACATACGAAGATCATATAAGTCGTAAGTCGGCAGGTAACTTGAAGGCACACACACACACTGGATGGGTCAAAAGCTGCAAAAGTCTGGGGGCATACTTTGCCCATCTGTGCTTAGATAAATAGCTATAGCTCTCCTTTGCTGTATCTCCCTTGCAGCTTAAAAATAAGCAGCACAAACAAGCTAGAGAGGTAGGAACTCTGTTACCAGCTGGCTGACTTCAAAACAGAACAATATAAATTGCTTTCTAAGTTTGCCTTTGTGAGGGATTCATCTCACATTCAGATAACATTGCCTTTGAGACCCTCTGTTCTCTCTTCCATGTACTATCCACGACTATTAACATCCCCAATCAATGGTGAGTTAGTTGTACACTTGTGATGGCCCAGTATTGAAAACAACAACAACTTAATGTGTTATGAAGGCTTTCATGGCCAGAAGTACTGTGTTGCTGTGAGTTTTCCGGGCTGTATGACCATGTTTCAGAAGCATTCAATTCTGATGGCAGGCATCCTCAAAGGTTATGAGGTCTTTTGGAAACTAGGCAAGTGAGATTTATACATCTGTGGAATGTCCAGGGTGGGAGAAAGTACTCTTGTCTCTTGGAGGCAAGTGTAGATGTTGCAATTGGCCAGCTTGATTAGCACTGAATAGCCTTGCAACTTCAAAGCCTGGCTGCTTCCTTCCTGGAGACATCCTTTGTTGGGAGGTGTTAGCTGGCCCTGATTCTTCTCTGGAATTTCCCTGTATCTGCCTGGTTTCCAGCAGACATCACAACCTCTGAGGATGCCTGTCATAGATATGGGTGAAATGTCAGGAGCGAATGTTATTGGAACATGGCCATACAGCCTGGAATACTCACAGCAACCCAACAACTTAAATTTTACTTTCTTTTAGAATCATCCTAGATAGCAACTAGTGGTCCACCTGATCGCTGGTGTGCAGTGTCCTTTATTGAGAAATGGCTCTAGGTTTCTTTAAACAGATAAGCAGGGACTTTTCTGAGTATGAGTCATGCCGCTATGCAATATGGCCCTTCCCTTCTGCTTTGGTAATGGTCTAAGTGTGATGGACATTAAGGGGCAGTTGGCTATTCCAAGCATATGGAATCTGAGTTATGTCCACCTGTTAGGGTGGGACCTGAAACAGGGTCTGGCAGAGTATTGTGATGAAGGCAAACATTTTGGATTTTCCTGGCAGAGAAATTAGTCAAGTCAAGAAGAAGCAGGGAGACGTGTATTGTATTGTCGAAGACTTTCCCATCACTACAGCATATTGTGCAGACGAGTATTGCTTTGGCACTGGTTAGCCAGGCTTGCTTCTGCTTCTTTGTTGACACTTGCTCAACATGTATATAAACATATAATTACACAACTCTATGGTAAACACTTCAGAGTCCCACTTATTTCAAAAGGAGAGGCTAAGTATGCACAAAATGCTGTGGTGATGGGAAAGATAATACTGAGGGAAATGTTTCTACATCTTTATTGAAGACAACGATAATTCCCCTTCCAACAATTCAATAGTAGTACTTGGGAGACGGGAAAATCATCCTTATCTGGTGCTTAATACTAATATTCCAATTAATATTGTTGGACCATGCAAGGGACCGGTGAGTGAGTGTGTGTGTCAACTGTAAAATAAGATGCATTAAATTGATTGGTTGGGCAATGACTGGGAAGATAGCTGAGCCTGGGACTTTTGGATTCTGTTACATTTTTGTTCAGGCTTGAGCTATGCATGTGTTCAGAGAGAAGAAGAGAGAAGCAAAGAGAGCAAGATTTTGGAGTGTACTCTTGCTCCATGAACTGCTGAAAGAGACTATTTTAAATCTATCAGAAATTGACATGATGTGAGTCGATGCAACTGATCACATGATTGCACATATGTTGTTCTACATATTACGAAGAGTAAACTACTTGTTTTTTTGATAATCTGTGTGGCATATTTTCTTTCTCTGGCAAGGCAATGTGTGGGCTGATCAAACATGAACTAAACCTGATATTTGTGGTTTATTTTACATTACACCACAAATTTCAGGACAAAACAAAACAACTTTTCTTCACAATGGTTTCATAGATAATGTTAATTACAATTGCTGAATGCCTCTAAAGCGGCAAGGCAGGGAAACATTGAATAAACAATCATCACTGATTTTGGAATCAACAATACCTCAAGTATTTTCTTTGTCTCTAACTTAGGACTTCTTAAACTTTTTCCATGTGTAATCCCTTTTGGCTCCAGAAAGTTTTTATGTGTCTTCAGGTATATAGGTAAATTAAATAGAGGACAAAAATCAAACATTAACTGATAACAAGTAGCATTTGCATGACTTGCTAAGAAGTCTGATTTTCCTTTTTGTGGAGTGCAGCTAACGAATTTTCTGGAGAGTACATTGAAAACATGGCACGTTGTAGCTAACAGATTTGTGTAAATGGGTGGCAGTCAGAAACCTTTTACCTTTTTCATTTTTTTTGTGACCCCAACATTGAGCCAAGGAGACTGCATTTGGGGTTGGGACCCACAGTTTAAGAAGCAGGGCTCTATGGATACTTGGAACATAGCACATGCTATGTACTGAAAGATTGTCATGGGAATGGAGGCCTTGGGGTCAGGTGAGCTAGAGCTGGTGCTCTAGTGCTGCACATTATGCAGCCATTGATCTGTATTGGCCATAATAATCTACATTAATGATCATATTAGGAAAGCTTCCTGTCATACATCAAGACCTTTCTCACATGGATTAAATATCTGGGCAGCGAGGAAGTGTTTCTGCCATGGATGTGATCATAGCACAAATCAGCCTCAAAGGTAAGCCCAAGTCTCACCGCAGTGCCCTGCCTCTAGGAATGTTTTGATTGTTTTGTCTTTGTAATAGCAAAGACAAAAGAATCAAAGATTAAAAAAATTAAAAGCATAGGATATAATAGATGGTTAGTCATAGATAGAAAGCTGAACTCTGTAAGATATGTGTTCAAGCAGACAGGGCAGGGACCCAGACATATTCTTGGAGTGTGAGTGTGTGCTTAGAATGCAAACAATATTCATTTTAGGTTGTTGTAGGTTTTTCCGGGCTATATGGCCATATTCTGGAGGCAATTTTTCTCCTGACGTTTCGCCTGCATCTATGGCAAGCATCCTCAGAGGTAGTGAGGTCTGTTGGAAGTAGGAAAAATGGGTTTATATATCTGTGGAATGACCAGGGTGAGACAAAGGACTTTTGTCTGCTGGGGCTAGGTGTGAATGTTTCAGCTGATCACCTTGATTAGCATTCAATGGCTTGGAAGTGCCTGGGGGGAATCTTTTGTTGAGAGTGATTTTATGCGCCTGTTTGTTTCCCCTCTGTTGTTTTGCTGTTGTAATTTTTGAGTTTTTTAATACTGGTAGCCAGATTTTGTTCATTTTCATGGTTTCTTCCTTTCTGTTGAAATTGTCCACATGCTTGTGGATTTCAATGGCTTCTCTGTGTAGTCTGACATGGTGTTGTGACAGTGGTCCAGCATTTCTGTGTTCTCAAATAATATGCTGTGTCCAGGTTGGTTCATCAGGTGCTCTGCTATGGCTGACTTCTCCTGCTGAAGTAGTCTGCAGTGCCTTTCATGTTATTTGATTCTGTTTGGGCAACGCTGCGTTTGGTAGTCCCTCTGTAGACTTGTCCACATCTGCATGGTACACGGTAGACTCCTGCAGAGGTGAGAGGATCCCTCTTGTCCTTTGCTGAACGTAGCATTTGTTGGATTTTCTTGGTGGGTCTGTAGATAGTTTGTATGTTGTGTTTCCTCATCAGCTTCCCTATGCGGTCAGTGGTTCCCTTGATGTATGGCAAGAACACTTTTCCTCTGGGTGGATCTTCATCTTTACTCTCGTGGCTTGTTCTTGGTCTTGCAGCTCTTCTGATGTCTGAGGTGGAGTCTCCATTGGCCTGTAGAGCCCAGTTTAGGTGGTTCAGTTCATCTTGGAGGAGGTGGGGTTCGCAGATTCTTTTTGCATATAAAATATTCATTTTATATTTATTCTAGGCTAAGCACGCAGTCCTGAGACAAAGGATTCCACCAAAAGGCTGGATATTTGTAATATATTTAAAGTATTAAGAATATGGTATAGATCACTGCTTCTTAAACTATGAGTTCTGATCCCAATTAGCTCAATGTTGGGGGTCAACAGTAAACAGGTTCTGAATGCCACCCATTTACACAAATCTGTTAGCAATTAAGTGCAGTGTTTACAGTTGACTCTGCAGAAAATGCTCAAGAAAATAGTGCCCAAAAGGAAAATTAGCCTCTTTAGCAAACCTTGCAAATGCTGATTTATTATCAGTAAATATTTGATTTTTTATACCCATTTTATATACCTATATGCCTGGGGTAACATTAAAAAAAATTAGGTGGAAAGGGATAATAAATGGGAAAAGTTTAAGAAACACTTGCATTAATAGACAAGATAAAAAGTTAAAATTATTGTGTATTTGTACAATACACAAAAAATGAATTAGACAAGTACCAACAACAAAAGTCACTTGATTATAAACCAGGAGTCCTCAAACTATGACCCGGGGGCCGGATACGGCCCTCCAAGGTCATTTACCCAGCCCTCGCTCAGGGTCAACCTAAGTCTGAAAGAACACAACAACAACGACAATTCTATCTCATCAGGCAAAAGTAAGATCACACTTCCCACTGAAATAATAATAAGTTTATATTTGTTAAAATAGTTCTTCATTTTAATTATTGCATTGTTTTTAAGTGTTTTTTGAACTACAAATAAGATATGTGCAGTGTGCATAGGAATTCATTCATGTTTTTCTAAAATTATAATCCAGCCCTCCAACAGTTTGAGGGACTGTGATCTGGCCCTCTGTTTAAAAAGTTTAAGGACTCCTGTTATAAACCATCCAATAACTTACCAAGGCATTTCTTGAGAAACTGCAAATTACTTCTGGTGTGTGAGAATTGGCTGTCTGCAGAGACATTGCCCAGGGGTTACCCAGATGTGTTCCCATCCTGTGGGAGGCTCCTCTCATGTCCCTGCATGGGATGATGGAGCTGACAGATGGGAGCTCACTCAGTCATGCAGATTCGAACCGCCAATCTTCAGGTCAGCAGTTCAGCTGGCACAAGGGTTTAACCCATTTCGCCTGTTAGATAAATTAACACATACAATTTAATCAGTGAACTGTGTGATTCCCATTCCTATTTTAATACCTTTTTCAAGTTACTGCAAACTAAAAAGAAAAATTATCTCCATAAACATATCTTCTGCAATTCAAGAAAGGCTGCATTTTCAAGCAATTTATAAGCTTTGGTAAGATTCTTGTTGTTGTTTATTCATTCAGTCGCTTCTGACTCTTCATGATCTCATGGACCAGCCCACACCAGAGCTCCCTGTCTTAGGGATTTGTAAGAGTCCTAGGGATTCACTTTTTAAAAAATGTAGGGGGAGGTCAGGGTAATAATAATAATAGCCTTTATTTATATTCCGCCCTTCGCCTCTAGAGGACTCAGAGCAGATTGCAGCATTTACATACATAGGCAAACATTCAATGCCTTTACAACTGTATAGGAGACACATAAACACAAACAAAGGCAGAGGCTTCTCCTTTCATTTCCGGCTTCTGGAGTTGGTGCTCATCTCTGGCTCTGGGAAGGTGCTTTCTCCATTTTTAAGCTGAGGAGCTTGAATGGTGATGTTGACTGGTGTAAATGTATTTATAGATATGTATTGACTTATTTTTTTAAAGAAAATATTTTCAAAACAAACCAAGTGTCAGGATTGTATGTGGTAGCTAAATTTTGACTAGGAGAATAGCTACCCAATAATCATTATTTTAAAATGCCCTGTAACATTTGCACAAAAATCCCCACAGAAAGTGTTAATGCCCTGGAAAAACATTACACTGCAGTTCCTCCTTACACAGTTGGTTATGAGATCTGTTTTGTTAAGCACTTTCCTGATTTTCAGGAAATGTATTTAGACTCAGAGTATGGCATTGTTCTCAGTAGAATTCCTGTTTACTGGTGCATTTGATCAAGGCCAGAACGGCACAAGGAGACTTCGGTGGGAGAAAGGCACAAGGAGACTTCGGTGGGAGAAAGGCTTGATCTAAATGCTTAGTTTCATGGTAAGAAGAAACTCATCCAATGTTTCAAGCCACTGTTTACATGCTGTACTTCCCTTTTGGCATTGTTTCTCTTCCTGTCTCAAGAAGTATACTCAGTGTATATACTTTTGTTCTTCCTTCACTTTGCTGCACTACTGAGAAAAATGAAATGGTGACCAGCACACATATTTCCTCACATGGAACAAGGCTGTTCCATGTGAGGAAAGTCTACATATAACAGGAGTGGGGATTATGTAGCTCTGTAGCTGTTGTTGGACAGGAAGCCCCACCATCTATGGCTAACACAGGCAATTGTGAAGAAGGCAAGAGCTGTCGTCCAGCAACATCTGGATGGCAACATAATTTCCACATTTGGGATACACCTGCATGAAAGTACTCAACTGTTTACACTCAAGGGGCAACAGTAACTAAACTGTGAGAATGCCTAGCAGGGCACCAGCAAGAAGCACATCGATGCACAAGGCCTATTAATGTACAATGCACATCTGGCACAAATATGCATTGTGTACTAATGTGCATCAATCGCTTTGCTGACTTATCAATAAAACAATAGCTGTCTACTGAATACAGGCGGTATACAAATACGCAGTTCTAATTCCTGCAGGTGCAATTCCACTTACAAAGACACAATAACCAGCAGGATTCCAGTGTTAAGCATTAAGTTCTTTAAAGTAATAATATACTTTATTTATATTCTGCTCCATCTCCTCAAGGGGACTCAGAGAGGATTACAGAATACACAGATGGCAAACATTCAATGCTATTATACAATTAACAACAGCGACAGACAGTACATAGACAGAGGCAAAGGCTTCCCTCTTTTCATCTCGGGCATTTGGAGGCTGTGCTCAACTCCATCCATGGGGAGGTGCTGTTTTTCCTTTTTCCATGCCAAAGAGAAGAGCCTATTGTCCGTGAACATCTTCCTGATCGAATTTCCAGCATGTCTGCATGGGCGCCTTTTACCTCCCTGCCAAAACTATACCTCCTTCTCTGGTACTCCCTCCCTAAAGAGATAAAGTTGGCCCCCTCCCTTCTCTCCTTCAAAAAACAGCTGAAAACCTATCTTTCCTCACAAGCATATGGAGAGAAGGAAGATTAGATAAAGAGAAAGTACTACCAGACTGCTGACTGGATAGTGGGCCTTATTAGATCACATTAGCCGATTTAACAACTTTGGCCATACAATCTATGCACACATTTGTGAACCTTCGTGTTGTTTTAATATATTAATTCAGATGTTTTATGTTTAAGTTCTATGTTGTTTATAATTTTCAATTGATTATGTTTTATTTAAATTGTAGTTGTTATGCTTAAGTTGCTCTTTATGTGGAGTTATCTTGGGTTTTTATATCTGTATTTACTGTCATTCAAGCATTTAACATTTGTCTTTTGGTTTGTTGGAATCCGCCAGGGGTGACAGGGCAAAATATAAATAAAGATGATTATGATGATGATTAAGATTATTATTCTGACACAAAAACACAGCATGTCACAGCAAACAAAAATATATATGCTGGATTTCGTATCACAAAATCACTAATAATAATAATAATATTAATAATAATAATAATAATAATAATAATAATAATAATAAATTGATCTATTCATATTACTGTTTTCAAACTGCTAGGTGGGCTGATGGTGGGAGCCCCCCCACCCCACCCCACCCCACCCATGGCTTGAACTGCCAACTTTCCAGTCAGCAAGATTTTCTGCAGCTGGCAGTTTAACTTGCTGTGCTACCGCAGCCCTATTAAGATATATTCTGTACTTTTAACATTACAACTCACAGCTATCTATCAAATGAAATAACTAAGCAAACACTTAATCCTTCTTTTGATTTAATGTTGCTCTGGCCTGGGCCACACATACATGAATGATACATTATGGTAAGGGTAAGATCAGTGAGTGAAACATATAATGCAAATAATTAAATTTCTATGCATTTCCAAAGTAAAATATTAATCTTAATGCACACCACCTGCATTCTATGGTAAAAAAAAATATATAGAGAGACCAATTATGATTGTTGTAATCTTTCTGGAGTGATTGGATTTCTAACAAGATATGTTTATCCATAATTTGCAATAACTAGTAGATGACTCTTAGATCACTTACATCATGCAATCTTATCTGAGTTTGAACTCATAAATGGAATAATTCAGTCCCTAATGTCCAGAGCAAGGATGAACATGACAACAGAAACTTCAGCTCCATAGTTCCAAAGCTTAAAAATAAAATAACAACAAAGTCTGGAAGCCAACTGAGTCCCTTCTAGAGCTGATCCATTGGTTCAATGGAACTTGCATTAAACACTGACTTATCAGATTCAATGGATCACCTCCAGCTGGGATTAGCAGTCATTTAGTCCTAAACCTACTATTGGGTGTCTGGAAACCATGGGAGTAAAACCCTGGTCAACGGAGCCCCTTTCTCAAACAAGAGAGCTCTGTAAAGACCACAGATAAACATAGACAAAAGCCTTGTCTTCTAGCAGAGCATTGAAGAATCATGGTAAAAGTTCAACAGAAAGGAATTGTCACATACTTGCTTGTGATTTACTTTGGGAATTTTTCTTTAGAGAGGAAGCCAGTTGTTAACACACACAGGACTGTTAGCAATGCTACCATATGCATGATTTAAAGGCATATGAATGCCGAGAATGTAAAGAGGTCAGTATGGCTTCTGTTTATTCAGAGCCCATCCCACGAACTGCCCACAACAAAAATCCATTTTACAGCCAATACGTTAAGCAGTGTCCCCAGAACATGGGGTTACATTACATGTCAACTGAACCCATCGCATGAAGAAACAAGAGCAAAAGGCACAATTTCAATCCCTGATCTGGGAAAATTGAAAGAAGATGGCAGTTCGCTTTGTGAAACCACTGTTGCCCTTACTTTCACTCTAGCATGGGATTTATCATTAAATCCCATGTCTGCTCTCTGTATCCATGGATTCAGAATTAATGGATTCAACCATCCACACCTTTATGAAAAAAATCTCTAAAGCAAACCTTGATTTTGCTATTTATATTACCATTTTATTATGGTACAGATTTTGGTATCCACAGGGAGTTCTGGAACCACCCCAGCAAATTCAATGGGCCATATTACATTAACTGTTGTTCAGAAAAATAGTAAATGGGATATTATAGGAGGCTAATTACATAAATGGGAGGTAAAGGTAAAGGTTTCTCCTTGACATTCAGTGTAGTTGTGCCCAACTCTGGGGGTGGTTCTCTTCTCCATTTCTAAGCCAAAGAGCAGGCATTGTCCATAGACACCTCCAAGGTCATGTGGCCAGCCTGACTGCATGGAGCACCGTTACCTTCCCACCAAAGTGGTGCCTGTTGATCTACTCACATTTGCATGTATTCGAACATGCTGGTAGAAGCTGGGGCTAACAATCTGAGGTCATCCTGTCTGTGGGTTTGAACCGCCGACCTTCCGATCAGTGTGTTTTGCATCTTATCAGTTTAATCCATTGCACCCCTACAGCTCCTATATAAATTGTATAGTTGTATTAATCTTTGTAGCAAAAGCAATCAATATTTTGTAGTCTTTAATGTGCCTCAGGATGATGATGATGACGACAACAACAGATTCTTCTTATTATTATCATCATCACCACTATTTCTATTACATGGAGTAAGGTGAAACTTTCTGCAATACAAAAATGTAAAATTGAGCCGAAGAATATGTTTGTCAATATTTTATGGTTCTCAAAGAAAAAGAAATAGCAGTTTTAGAGGTTGAATTATGATGATTCCTATACTGTAGTGGTTCCCAACCTGATGTCCATGAACCACCAGTGGTCTGCAAGAACTAAAACATGGTCCGCATCCTCACCGTTACTACACCATTGCAACTAGGGCAACTGGTCTTGCGAAACCCTCTTATAATGCCAAGGCTTATTAAATATTGTGTTCTGTGGGCAAGCAGATGGCAACTTACTGGATGGCATATGTTCTGTATCAGAACTGATGTGGTCTATCCAAGGCAGTTTTCTAAATCAGCACCCCAAATAAGCAGACCAAATCTAAAGTTGACTAAAAACTGATTCATATTCCTTTTGGTACCAATGTTGGAGAGTGGTCCCTGGTCAAGTGGTCCCTGCTTTAAAAAAGGTTGGAAACCATTGCTATAGCGCAACCCCCATAAAATGTTGCATGCATGTTATCATCATTAAAGGAAACAAACACAGAAAGTCCAGTTGAAAGTCAAGGTGAGACAGGGTACAAAATTTTAGCACATTATTCATCAAAGTAAAAAACACACGGACCCCTTCATTAGTTTTTCTTCATGTTGAAAGGTGATTTTTAAAAAAAATCTGCTAGCAAAAATACCTGATGTACAAGTGAAAAATGCAGCTATTAGGAAACAGTACTACAAGTGAACACATAATTTAGCCAATCAAACTGCTTTTCCACAACCACAGCAGCACATTTTAGTATGTAAAGCTAAGTAAATGCTAATAAATAAGAAGCATCTAAAGCAATACCTTTTATTGGAGCCAGCACTTGTTTAAGTTTTGAGCTTCACCAAGCTCTTACTGTAGGATGAAGAAATTAGTAGTAGTGGGGAATATTATGATTTACAACTTGCAAAATAACAAAGAAAAGCAGCAGTGAAAACCTTGAGGTCACACCTTGTGATCCAACATTTAAAGGGCCTTCACAAAGGAATAGAGGAATTCAACCTCAAAATATGATTCAATTCCCAAATAATAATCTTAAAGTAGTTACGTTTCTTGTCAGGAAAGGATTACAAAGCTATGTAGAAAGAGTTATCGCACTAGAAAAATATTACTCTGCAAACCATTATTTGCCTTTGTCCAACTTAATAGCTCTCAGACTCTAAATTATAACTTTTTTACAAGGAATTTATAGGAGGGTCTTGCTAAAATCAATGCATGAAATACATTATCAATTCAAAAGGCAAATAGGTATACATATTTATATCTGATTGTACGAAAACCAATGTTGCTGTTAATAG